CTGAGGAGGAGAGAGGCGGAGAGGGTCAGGTTCCTGTGACAGATGCTGGGAGGAGGGTAAGCAAGGGGGGAGAATGGGGGGGGGGGTTATTGTGGAACAGGGTGGGGGCGTCTGGTTCGTTTGTTTGTAAGTCTTCGTTTTACGTTCGAGGATGTAAATAAGGATGAAATGCTGAGTCATTGCACACACACACACATATTGATGTATATATATATATATATATATATATATATATATATATATATATATATAAATATATATATATATATATATATATATATATATATATATATATATATATATATATATATATATATATGAAATATATATATATATATATATATATATATATATATATATATATATATATATATATATATATATATATATATATATGTATATACACACACAAACGTACGCACATATAAGTATATTCAGATGCGCTATTCAGATGATTTTGCAATTCAAGCAAATCAGGAAGTTTATCCGCGTCGTATAACAGTGCAGTAAATCGTATTATGACACGGATAAAACATATAGAAAGCGGGATATCATAACACACTTTTCAAAAATATGATGCGACTTTTATGTCGGTTATATTTCTGGCCGTGAAAAAGTGATATTGTTCGAATGCTGGGGAAGCGTTGTATGTCTACCGTCCTTCGCAAACACAATTCACTGTGACCATAAATACACATGCATAAAATTTTGATTCGGATATACGAGTAACACTGCCAAAACAATCCCTTCAAAAACAAACAAAATACAAATAAAAAAAAAAACTTTCAACTTCAGGTATGAGTAACTTTAACAAACAAGCAAAAAAACAACAACAACAAAAAACCATTCAACTTCAGGTATAAGTTACTCAATATTATATAAATAGGAATTTCGTAGTGAGGCTCTACGACTTAACGATTGACCACGAATTTTAAATGACTATAGTACTTAAGACCAACTTTCATTCCGTTATTGAAATGATTATAGTACATATCTAACCTTGGGTACACCTTTATTGGCTTTCTCTGAAATACGAGCTTGAACTATATAATTTTACATTAAACTTTTCCCATCTTTTGAACTAACTGACACGGAAGTTTCTCACTAATAAAGACAACATGTCCTGCCTGTTCTCCCCCGCAGATGAGTGTCAGGGATTCTAAACGAATTGAACGTTCAAAATTTCGCACTGTACTTTTTTTTGTGGAGGGGAGAGGGAATCTACTCGAGCTCCCTGTGGAAGTATCTGATTTCATTCTTCATTTCCTCTCTCTGTGTCTCTTTGCTACTCTCTCTCGTCTGTCTGTCTTTCCTTCCGTACCCCACCCTCCTGTCTCTCTTTTTCTTTCTCTCTCTCTCCCTTCTTTATTCCCTTCCCCCTTCCCCCCTCCTCTCTCTTTCCATCTCTCCGTCTCTTTCTCTCTCTCTCTCTCTCTCTCTCTCTCTCACTCTATCTCTCCCTCTTTCTCTCTCTCACACTCTCTCCCTCTTTTTCTCTTTCCCCCCTCCTCCCCTGCCCCCCCCCTCTCTTTTTTCTGCCTATCTCTTGTGTGTCCGTCTGGCATTGTCACTGTATGTCAGTCTGTCCCCAAAAAGTCGACGGGGAATTTTCTTATGTCTTGCACACTAGCGTTTGTGTTTTTCACTTGTTTTTCTCTTTCTTTCCATAACTCTTTTTCTGAGACAAATGTTGTCTTTTTTATATATCTCTAGAAGCGTTGAGAAAGTATGCAACGGCTTCAGACTTTTCTGAATGGACTTTGATGTTTGTTCAAAAGTTGTTTGTCAGGAAGATTTACTTTTATATAACGGCAGGGGAATCGCTTCCTTCAGCTGGGCTCCGTAACTAGGAGACCATCCGCAAACTCTCAAACTCTTTTCCATTGTGCGCGAGATAAGATCTATTTCTGCCGGAGCTCAGACACACACACATGCACGCGTGCGCATACATGCATACACAGAAAGGCAGACACACACACACACACACACATACACACACACACACACACACACAGACACACACACACACACACACACACACACACACATATATATATATATATATATATATATATATATATATATATATATATATATATATATATGTATGTATATATATATACATATATATATGCACAAACACTGCTGTAGACCTGAAATGATAATTTTGTATAACATCCACCAACAATTTTCCATTTGTTTTAATAAATATCATTACACTTCCATTAAGGGCAAAGCAGTCGTCACTGTAATCATTCATACTCTCATCACAAATGTTAATCAAATTGTACTCTTATTCAAAGTGAACAGGATCACAGACACACAAACTTCTGTAGGCAACTAAAAATATGAAATGTACAAACACAGTATTTTTTCCCCATTATCATTGTAACTGTTTGATCCTCAGAACAACGCCATGACAGAAAGATAATATTAAAGAGATCATATAATCAGCAATCAAAATATTACTATTTTCGCATTAGTAATTAGAGTGGCATCT